CAAAACAAACAAAAAATTTAAATATCCATACTTTGACTTCTTTATTATTTTTAGTGAATAAGTTTGAAGAGAGCCTTTTAGTTTACAACACGAGGTAAAAAGAAAATCATTTCTCTTTAACCAATAATTCACAGAATTTTAGTAATTTTAGATTTCAAGGATGTGGGATTGCATTTCTCAAGGTCAGGGATCAAGTAAACAGGTTTAAACTTCTTACCAACATAATAATAGTCACCAGCTCTCTAATTAGTTACATTAAGTTTCTTCAAAGGCAGGTATTATCATTGTTGCTGTTGTCTTTAGACTTGAAGTGCTGCCATTTCAATCAATAGCCTCTAATTCTACTTCAAAATAAGTTTTGCATTTGGTGGAATTTTGGCATCAGGCTGCCCTTTCTTTCCATAAACCCATTCTGGTTCAGTCTCTAGTCGAGCATTTTCCCCCTTTACTCATAGTCCATCCTCTGGTAATTTTGCTAACTCTAATCTTAAAGTTTAAAAGCTTGGCATTAAAAAATAACAGTAATAAATAAATAAACTTGGCATTTTTTTCTTTTTGGCAATTGTTTAAATAATAGTATCAAAAAGAGTCCCATCCTGTAGTGTTCTTGTAGACCAGGGGTTCTCAACCTTCCTAATGCTGCAACCCTTTAATATAGTTCCTCATGTTGTGATGACCCCCCAACTGTAAAATTATTTTCGTTGCCACTTCATACTGTAATTCTGCTACTGTTATGAATCAGGTGATCCTGTGAAATGGTCTTTCAACCCCCAACGGGGTCATGACCCACAGGTTGAGAATCACTGCTGTAGACGACCCACGATGCACAACATCACCTTTTTTGGGAAAGTTGGTTTTATCTCTTTTTTTATGGACAGATTTTGTATATTTTGGTGAACTCTCTTTAAGAGTCTCTTCAGACTTATTTTCCTTGGGTCTGTCATCAGTAACTTTCCAATTTTTCACCTGCTCACACACTTTATTTATGCGTTTGGCATCTTTGAGATGCTTAGCTTCAAAAAGATGGTTCTAGGCTGTAACCAAAGATCCTTGGTAGCTATTTTAGCCACATTTTTTATATTTCCTAATAGTTTATGTTCTGCAAGAAACGAATGTGAACCCTGATCCTGCAGAAACTTGATGATGTCCATACTTCTTTACCCACAGTTTCCAATCTTACAAAATACTGTCATAGTACATACAGATGGTTACTACAGCATTTTATGTCATAAGAAAAATTTGGGAAGAACTTAAATGTCTGAGAGGAAATAGATTTTTTTAAAGTAGTATCTACAACTTTACCTTGCATTACTACTTCCCCCTATTTACCAGTTCCAAACAGCCACGCTGATAATATGCTCCTTTGCCTCCAATACTTCTTTCACTCACAGCTAGGATATTCCCCTAAATCTCAGCTTCAATAGCACTGAAAAGGCCTTCCTTTGCAATCCTTCTAAAACAGGTCCCTCTCTGCTACTTTCTATTCCAAATGCTTAACGTTTCCTTCAGTCCCTAGTTAGATGCCTATTATAGAGTAGGCTTCCAATATTTATCAAATGAGTTAATGGTCTAGCCACATAATTTTAAAATATATAGCTATATATATTGTCTTAACATGTGTCCAGGTATATATTTCTTCATAGTGTGTTTCAGAAATAGTAGTTAATCCTCATTATTCACAGATTCTGTATTTGGGATTTTTTCCCCCCACTTGCTAACATGTATCACTCTAAAATCCATACTTGTGGTGCTGTCATGGTCACCTGCAGATATGTGCTGTGGAGTCGGTTCCAACCCTTAGCGACTCTGTATAACAGAAGGAAATACCACCTGTGCTGTCCTCACGATTTTTATGTTTGAGCCCAATGTTGCAGCAACCATGCCAGTCCTCTCCTTCACTGCCCCTCTACTTTACCCAGCACAATGTCCTCCTCCAGGGACTGGTCCCTCCTGATCACGTGTCCAAAGTCCGTGAGATGAAGTCTCTCCATCCTTGTTTCTAAGAAGCATTGGTTGTACTTCTTCCAAGACAGATTGGTTTGTTCTTTTGACAGACCATGATACTTCTAGTATTCTTCACCAGCACCATAATTCTACACAACCTTTCTTCCTTGGTCTTCCATATTCAATGTCTAACTTTCATATGCATCATGCATAGTGGCAAAAAATTTGAGATGAGGGGGAACGTGTAAAAGGGAGCTGATGTTAAGGAATTCAAGAAGGAAGAGAATGTTTTGAAACATTGGTAGCAATTATACAATGCTGCTTTATGTGATTGAGCTATGGAACAATATATCTGTATTAGCTCTCAATAAAATGGTTTTGGAAAAAAATAAAAATATTTTAAAAATTTGACTCGTCTGACGCACATCATCTTAGCTGAGGTCAAGTAGGCCTTATTTCACATCTCATATTGTAAACAAGTGTACTTTTTATCGTCTATTTAGTGCCAATCCTGTGTGTGTGTGGCTTTTCTTGGTGATTTATGTATATAAAATAGCCCCCAAGTAGGATAGTCAAGTGCTATTCAGGTTTCCTAAGTATAAGAAGGTTGTGATATACCTTAAAAAGTGAACATGTACATCTTTTTCTCACCAACTGTCTCATCACCTGACATTTCACAGTTGTAACAACTTTTATGAGGGAGCTTAAGACCACTGAGGGGGAAGACGTCTATGATAAAATGAAGATGACTTCAAAGAGAAATAGATATTTAAGATTCATTGAGGAAGGAGAGTCAACAAAAAGAGGAATTAAAAGAGAACTTGAAGAATAAAGATTGTTGAGTCATTAACTCATTAAGAAGTTGGGACTCATTAATAGTTTAATTGATAAGCAAAGGTTGAATTGGATAATAGTCAAGAAGGTTACTGGCTTTGCAATTAGGTTACAGGTGTCTTTTGCAAAGGAAGTTTCTGTAAAGAGGTTAATAGGTGCAGTGAAATAAAAGGAATATGTTTGAACCTTTAAGAGCCTAGAGAGGTGAGTGAGAGTCAGATCATTTTTAATTTTTTTAGAAATAGCTTTATTAGGGGGACAGATCTTTTTTTTATATATATAACTGTGAAGAATGCCTTGCATATTTGAAGACTTAGTATAAGCCAACTCTGGGAAGGAATACATTTGCTAAACTTGGTGAAGAATGGTTGTAAAAGCAGAAATGGAAGGTAATCAAGCGGCCATCAAGCTCAGAAGCAACAAAGCCCACATGGAAGAAGCACACCAGCCTATGCAACCATGAGGTGTCGAAGGGATCAGGTGTGAGGCATCATCAGAACAAAAAATCTTACCATAGTGAATGATGGGGGGAGTGCGGAGTGGAGATCCAAAGCCCATTAGTAGGCCACTGGAGATCCCCTTGCAGAGGGGTCTCAGGGAGGAGATGAGCCAGTCAGGGTGCGATGTAACAATGATGAGAAATACAATCTTCCTCTAGTTCCTAAATGTTTCCTCCCCGCTCCCACTACCATGACTCGAATTCTATCTTGCAAGTCTGGCCAGACCAGAGGAGGTACACTGGTACAGATAGGAACTGAAAATACAGGGAATCCAGGACAGATGAGCCCTATAGGACCAGTGGTGTGAGTGGCAAAACAGGGAGGGTAAAGGGAGAGTGGGTAGGAAAGAGGGAACCGATTACATGGAACTATGTGTGACTTTCTCCCTGGGGGACAGACAACCGAAAAGTGGGTGAAGGGAGACGTCGGACAGGGCAAGATATGACAAAATACCCACTTATAAACTATCAAGGGCTCATGAGGGAGGGGGGAGCGGGGAGGGAGGGGAAAAATGAGGACCTAATGTCGGGGGTTTAAGTGGAGAGAAAATGTTTTGAGAAACGATGTACAAATGCGCTTTACACAATTGATGTGTGTATGGATTGTGATGAGAGTTGTATGAGCCCCTAATAAAATGTTTAAAAAAAAAAAAAAGCAGAAATGACTTAAAGGGGGCTAAAGGCCATAACTACCAGATTGGAAACCTAAGGGAAAGAAGATAAGGAAGGCAGAATACTTTTTCTTTAATTATGACCAGTACTCTTACTCTCAATACAGCTAAGACAAACCTGGAATTTTGTGGCAAGACTTTCCAAAGACTAGGAGATAAAGAATGTTAAGAGCAGTTTTATATATATATATATATTTTAATATATTTATTTTTTAACAAAGTATTTTACTATGGATTTTTCTCCCTGAGAAGATTTAGAGACTAACTTTACCTCTTGTGGTTTTGTCATTACTGTGTTGTTAGATGCCATCAAATTGGTTCACAGAACAACTTTTATGGAAGAGGAAAGGAGCAAATGATAAAATGAGAATAGGGTCAATGATTAATTGGTATCTAAGATCCATTGAGGAGGGAGATAGCATTACCCAAACTTGTGCCACTCTCACATCGGTTACTATGTTTGAGCTGATGGTTTTATCCTGTGTCAATTCATCGTGGTCAGGCCTGCCTGGTTTTGGTTGACCATCTACTTGACCAAGCATGAAATTATATGGCGCACAGTTCCATCCTGAAGTTGGCCTTACAGAAAATGGGAAAGTAATACTGAAGAATTTCCTCTATGATATAGCTGGGTGCAGTGGGACCTTTACTGTGCAGAACAGAGAACTGGAATGTATTCGAGAGATCAAAGAGAAAGTAGGCACATCAAAAGTTTTGGTTTTACTCAGTGGTGGAGTAGACTCAACAGTTTGTACAGCTTTGTTGAATCGTGCTTTGAACCAAGATCAGGTTATTGCTGTGCACATTGATAATGGCTTTATGAGAAAACGAGAAAGCCAGTCTGTAGAAGAAGCCCTCAAAAAGCTTGGAATTCATGTCAAAGTGATAAATGCTGCTCACTCTTTCTACAATGGAACAACTACTCTACCAATATCAGATGAAGATAGAACCCCACGAAAAAGGATTAGCAAAACATTAAATATGACTACAAGTCCTGAAGAGAAAAGAAAAATCATTGGGGATACATTTGTTAAGATTGCCAATGAAGTAATTGGAGAAATGAACCTGAAGCCTGAGGAAGTTTTTCTTGCTCAAGGTACTTTACGGCCTGATCTGATTGAAAGCGCATCCCTTGTTGCAAGTGGCAAAGCTGAACTCATTAAAACCCATCACAACGACACAGAGCTCGTCAGAAAGTTGAGAGAAGAGGGTAAAGTAATAGAACCCCTGAAAGATTTTCATAAAGATGAAGTAAGAATTTTAGGCAGAGAACTTGGACTTCCAGAAGAATTCGTTTCGAGGCATCCATTTCCAGGTCCTGGCCTGGCAATCAGAGTAATATGTGCTGAAGAACCTTATATTTGTAAGGATTTTCCTGAAACCAACAATATTTTGAAAATCGTAGCTGATTTTTCTGCAAGTGTTAAAAAGCCACATACACTGTTACAAAGAGTCAAAGCCTGTACAACCGAAGAGCATCAGGAGAAGCTGATGCAAATTACGAGTCTGCATTCACTGAATGCCTTCTTACTGCCAATTAAAACTGTAGGTGTGCAGGGTGACTGTCGTTCCTACAGTTATGTGTGTGGAATCTCCAGTAAAGAAGAGCCTAACTGGGAGTCTTTGATTTTCCTGGCGAGGCTTATACCTCGTATGTGTCACAACATTAACAGAGTTGTTTATATATTTGGTCCACCAGTTAAAGAACCTCCCACAGATGTTACTCCTACTTTCTTGACAACAGGTGTGCTTAGTACTTTACGACAAGCTGATTTTGAGGCCCATAACATTCTCCAGGAGTCTGGCTATGCTGGGAAAATCAGCCAGATGCCCGTGATTTTGACACCATTACATTTTGATCGGGATCCACTCCAGAAGCAGCCTTCATGCCAGAGATCTGTGGTTATTCGAACCTTTATCACTAGTGACTTCATGACTGGGATACCTGCGACACCTGGCAGTGAGATCCCCGTAGAGGTCGTGTTGAAGATGGTCACTGAGATTAAGAAGATACCTGGTATTTCTCGAATTATATATGACTTAACATCAAAGCCCCCAGGAACTACTGAGTGGGAGTAATAAATTTCTTCCTTTTGCAGGAACTGCTCTCTTCTGATAACATGTTCAAAGTATGTGAGACAAAGTTTCAACATCCTCCCAAGTACATTCTGATTATACTTCTTCCAAGACAGATTTTTTTTCATTTTTCTGGAAGCTCCTAGTATATTCAATATTATTTAGCAATGCCATAATTTAAATACATCAATTTGTCTTGGCCTCCCTTTATTTATTGTCCAGCTTTTGCATGCTTATGAAGTGACTGAACATGCCATGGCTTGGGTCAGGCCCACCTTAATCCTCCAAGAACAAAGACAACTTTGTTCTCTGGTACTTTAAAAGAGATCTTTTGCAACAGATTTTCCCAGTACATTGTTTGATTTCTTAATTACTGCTTTTATGGCTATTGATTATGGGTGCAACTAAAAAGAAATCCTTGAAAATTCCAATATTTTCTCTATTTACCATAAGGTGGTTCAGTTGTGAGGATCTAGTGTTCAATATTCATCAAGTCCTCTTGGCTTTCAGCAAGCACAATTATGTCATCTGAATATTGCAGATTGTTACTGAGTCTTTCTTTAAACCTTATGCCATGTTCTTCTTCATATAGTCTACTTAGGAAGTCTTCAAATATATCCATGCTTAAAATCCAAGTTAATAAGGTCTAGTGTCCGTGTATACAACGGGGTACCTGCAAAAAACTGGAATTGTGCTAACGGAGTGAGTAGACCTTTCATAGTACACATTTTTCCCCACTAGGTGATCATTAACATCGAGCAACGCTTCTGAATTAGTGCACCCAGTGCTGTCATCTAGGAAGGTTCTCTTGGGTCAAAGTGAATTTTTTTGTAAAAGCAGCTTCATTCAAATCCTGTGTTTTGTGATGGCAAATTTAAGAGAACACTGTGCAGCTGTGAAATTTTGTTTCCTAGTCTAGGAAAATGCCGCAGAACTGTTGTGATGTTGAACACAGCTTACAAGGACAGCTCTATGGGAACTCAAGTGCACGAGTGGTTTTCTCATTTCCAAAAAGGTGAAATGTCAATTCATGAGCTTTCCAAATGGACAAAAATGCTGGCTCATAGTGCAGTTGGAGTTCTTTCCACCAGGTCAGATTGTTTTCTGTTTAGAGATTCAGAAAAGATTGGGCAACAGTGTGCAACAAAAAGGCCTGACTTGTGGCAGATGGGGGACTGGTTTTGCCACCACAACAGTGCACCTGCTCATGCAGTCATCTCAGTGTGCCAGTTTTTGGCAAAAACACCATGCCTCTCTTGTCCCACACACCTTACTCCATTCAACTCACTCCGTGCAACTTCTTTTTGTTTCTATGAATGAAGAGGAATATGAAAGGACAGCGGGGGGTGCTGTCAGCCATCCAAACAGATGAGTTTGAAAACTGTTTCCAAGAATAGAATCACAGATTTGACAGATGTATTAAGTGTAATGGAGAGTACTTTGAAAGTGATAAGGTTGTTTTTTTAAAAAAAATTAAATACACAACTTGGGGTGGGTGGGGGAGAATTCTGGCTTTGAAGGGCACTCCCTTGTAAATACACATATCTGTGAGAATTCTGTTTTGTTTTTAATAGGCCCACTTTTCCCAAAAATATGGGAAAATCTACTTCTTTCAGACCAACTTTACCTATTTAACAGGGGTGAGGTTATAGAAAGTAATCTTTTTTTGGAAGTAATTGTTATTAAACAACAAAAAAAGAAAAGAAAGAATACCAGTCATACCAAAGGTATTGTTAGTAGCAGGTATATCATTTTCATCTAGAAGTCTGAACTTCTGTGAAGATCTCTAGATATTCTGACATATGTTAATGCTGTATAACAGCAGTTTTCAACGTGGGGGTCGAAACCCTTTGCTCTGCTCCCCTTGCAGTTCTGTTGCATGCCCTTAGTGTTTTGCCTCAGTGTGGTGGGGTCAGATCGGGTGCAATTCCCGCACTGTGTCTCCAGTGTTGTCCCCTGTAGGGCTATTGGTCAGTGAGGGATGTCGCGTCTCATAGTGGGGCTGGCCATATGGTCCTCTTAAGCCAGGATATCATCCTCAAGGCTTGGTGAGCCAAGATGTGCTCCACTCTCTCTTCCTCCCCCTTCATTTGCTCCTGTGTGCTGTGATCAGACATGTCCCTCTCCCTGAGCTGTAGCTTCAGTGCTATCCTCCAAAATAAATTCTTCTGGGTGGAAGGGTGGCTGTCCACATAGCTGGGATTGGGGCCGGCCCTTTGCCATCCATTTTGTAATAAAATTTTATTAGCAAGTAGTACTGTCTGTGGTGGTTTGCACACTACTACAGTCAAATTGAATAATTGCAACAGAGTCTATTGCTTGCTAAGCCTAAAATATTTACTATCTGACCCTTTACAGAAAGTGTACCAACTCCTGTCTTATAATACCTTGCCCAGTACACCTTTTCTTTCATGTACTTCAACCCCGCTGCCCCACCAGGATTACTGAGCTTTCTTTGGTACTGCACATAGGATGCTGGGGAGGGGAGTGGGAGAATTCCTACAACTATACAACTAGACAGAGGATTGGTATGACTAAAAGTTCATAGTCAAAAAGCAAAAAATAAATAAAAGTTCAGTCACAAATCTCATTGGGTTATCAGTAGTGTTCAACAATTTGCAATCATCTAGTCCAATTTCCTATCCAATGTATGGGCAATTATCAGGCTCCTCTATGTGATTTATTTATGTGATGATTAATTTTATGTGTCAACTTGGGTGGGCCTGATTTATACTTCTAGCCTCCAGAAGAGTGAGAAAATAAATTTTTTCTTAAAGGCCACCCACTTGTGATATTTGTGTTATAGTAGCACTAAGTCTAAGACAATTTTATTACTCACTCAGTCAAAAATGTTAATTGAGCACCTAGTATGTATTAAACAGTTTCTTTCTAGTCATTAAGGATATAGAATAATGTAGCTCGAAAGGTCCTTACTATAATGGAAATAAAACCCATTTTCATTGAGTTGATTTTGTCTAATGAAAGCTATAAAAAAGGAATTAAAAAATAAAAATTGAAAAATAAATTAAAACAGGCTATCTTTGCTTGTTAACACCCTAAGGAGGTCTATTGCAACAGATTTGTTTGCTCAATGCAATACTTGGTTTGATTTCTTGACTGCTACATCTATGAGTATTGATTGTGGATCCAAGTGAAATTAAATCCTTGACAACTTTAATCTGTTGTTTATTTATCATAATGTTGTCTATTAGTCCATTTGTGAGGATTTTCATTTTATTTACATTGAGTTGCAATCCAGGAGAACCTCAATCCCCCCACTACCACCACCACTTGTCTGTTAGTTTGTTGCATTGTGGTGGGTTGTATATGGCTGTGGTGATGGGTGATATCATGTCCAAGTGAAATAAGTCAATCAGCCACACTCAGAACAACCATATGAAATGACATGAACAAGTAAATATACAAGAAATAATGTTCACTAGGGGTTATCAAGAATAGGGAGAAGAAAAGTGATTCACTCTCTAGATAGTAGACACTTGCTATTTTTGGTGATGGGAACAGTAGTAACACCAAATGAGACTGCAACATATACACAAGAACAAAGGACCTCTGGGTAATTACTATAACATATGTAATTTGTCAACAACGGCAAAAACAATATATGGATATATGTGTGTATATGTATGTGTGTGTGTGTTTCAAAATGTTTATGTACCATATATATGGAACCCTGGTGATACTGTTAAGTAAGCATTAGACTGATTAGATTGATAACTTCAAAGTCAACCATTCAAACTCACCAGCTGCTTCTTGGCGGAAAATGGCAGTGTGTGTGTGTGTGTGTGTGTGTGTGTGTGTGTGTGTATGTGTTCACATATATGTATATTTATGCCTGAAGGAGTTTCAAAATATTTGGGGAAAATTCCATTATTTTTAATTCTATTTTACCATGAATTTTTTGAGGCCTACTCATATATCCAGGTGTGAATATATATGTGTATGCATATGTCTGTGCATTTATATGATCATATACATATTCATATGTACAATAAAGTGCATAGCTGACATGTATACTTCTTACCCATAACCAAATACCTTGCAACATTGCTTTTCTGCCTTTGAAGGATTAGGACTAGAGTCTTGTGGGAAAGCTCTGTCAATTGGCATCATATAGTTCATAAAGTGAGGTTCTACTCCTAGTTTGGTGAGTAGTGTCTGGGGGCTTTACAGCTTGGGAGTAGCCTGATACCTCATGATCGCTCGGGCTGCTGTGCTTCTTCATTGTAGGCTCTATTGCTTCTCAGCTAGTTGGCCGCTTGTTTATCTTCAAGCCTATAAAACCCCAGACACTATATCTTTTGACAGCTAGGTACCATCAGCCTTCTTCATCACATTTGCTTATGCACCCATTTTGTCATCAGTGATCGGGTCAGGAAGGTGAGCATCACAGAATGCTGGATTATTAGAACAAAGTGTTCTTGCATTGAGGGAGTACTTGACTAGAGGCCTGTAAAAAGTTGGATTGACAAAAGATGTGTGTTATGTATATTTACAGCAAGAAGAGTGACTGCTAAGGGTAATTATGCACCATCAAACATCTGTGAGCTTCTTGATTTGGGTGTTTAGGGTTATGGCTTTGTGACCTACTGGTTAATTGACATAATAACATGGTGCTTGGTGTCTTTGTTCAACTTCCTATTTTGTTGCATTGTGCCTGGGGGTTTATAAGCTTGTAAACCCTCAAATTGGTTTCTATTTGCCAGAAACAACAGAGGAAGGAAAGCCAGGAAAATGAGGAAATGGAATGTGCAGCTGATTATCTCCCCTTCCATGAAACCAGAATTGGATGATGTTCAGCCACCATTACTGAACATAGAGTAGAAACCTGATAAAAAGAGGGAGAATGCAGGACAGAATTTCAAATTCCCATTGACTCTAGATTATCTGGACCCATCGAGGCTGGCAGAACACCAAAATGATTGCCCTGAAATCATCTTTAAACGATGAACTACGAGTACCCCTTTACTATGCACTTCTATATG